GGAAACAGATTAGAGAGAGAGAGCATGGATGTACCTCTCCAAGATTGGGGAGGGGGCCAGAGCTTAAAGGAAGCCTGGTGGCCCATGCTTGAGACTAGCAGCTTTTTTCAACTTCTAGTTTTAATAGGGGGCAGGCAGGCACTCACAGGTGCTGATGTCACAGTGATGGGGTCTGTTTCTCATTTCTCTAATGAGTGATGGATACACGAGTCAGCCACACAGATGAGAAAGGCAGAACCGACAACCGAGAGACAGATTCTTGGGAGATGTTAATCTCAATGTCCTGGGACTCACCCAGGGTTCTGGAAAAGGGTTGCTGTTGTGTATGAGCTCAAGGAGGCCAGAGAAATTCCATGTTGGGCTCTGTCCTTTCACTAGGAGTTCAAAACCTGGCAGGGCAACGTAGTGAGACTCCATCTCTGTAAAAACCAAACAAATTTTATTTAAAAGCATGATAACAGAGCAGAGCCTGGGAATGTGAGATAACCAGAAAGCAAGGTCCCCAGCACACATGTAGATGTGTGGGCCTACAAGTGATGGTGGTTGGGGAGTGTCTGTCTCTGCCGGCCACCATCCTCTCCACTCCCTTTGTCCTCAGTGGTTTACAGTCGGCCAAAGGTAGAACGGGCGACGTCACAGTGTTCACCGTAGACGTATATGTATGCGTTGCATGTGGCTCTGTGTAAATCACTCTGCCCACGTGTAAGGGGGGTCCCGTTCCTGTTTGGAAAGCAGCTACACACTGGAATTAGAGCCCTGGCCAGTGTGGGCGGGCAGGGGCATGTGAATCTCTGGGGTTTGCTTCCTGGGGAGACCGCTGCCCCGTCTGCCTGAATTCCTGTCCCCTTTCATGGGGAGCCAGGTGAAGCCGGTCTAGTGAGGGTTAGGGCCCGAGGACTTGAGAACACAAAGGCTGAGGAGGAGATGGAGGGAAGAGGGGGATGAGGGTGGAGGATGAGTTGTTCTCAGGTATGAACCCGATGCTGGAAGAAAGTGAGCCCAGGATACCCAATGGAGTGAGACCGTCACACATCTCCCTGCCTAGAGTTCAAAGTGGGCCAGGTTCTGCATGAGACTGCATTTGTCACTAGGGGATTATGTGGGTGCTGACTCAGTTGGACACCCCAACACACACCCTCCCCAAGATCTTCCTGCTCCCCCCAACCCCAATCAGGAAGTGACAAGCCTCGGAGAGCAGAGGCCAAGGCTGCACGTGGAGGGTCCACTGCCTCCAACCTCCTCCTATGGCTCTTCCAATAGCCCTTGGACAAGCCCCCTGCATGGCCACAGGGTGACAGGACTTTCCCCAAGGCTTGGCAGTGCCTGTGAACCACCAGGCCTGGCTTGCGGTCCCGAGAGGGTGTACAGCCTCATCCCAAAGTCTTTGTATCCGTAAGAGCAGGAGGACAGCCCTGTGTCCCGGGTGTTAACAATCCCACCCCATAGGACCTAGATGCCATCTGCTGGTCTGAAGATGCTACCTGGTCCCTCAACCCACTTCTTGACCCCACAGGGGCACAGCTCACACATCAGGCACATCCTGCAGCCATTTCAGGCCCACGAGCTGGACCCTAGAGTAGACACACCCTTGACTCATCTCAGACCTCAGGGTTGGGGGACCGAAGACAGACGTTCTTCAGGACTGGACGAGTAGGTTGGTAGGATAGGGCTGTGGCAGAGTTGTAGATGTGTCATCATTGTTAGTTTGTGAGTGCTGTGAAGTCAGTGTCTTTGGGTCCCCAGCCACATTGACCAGTGAAGGCTCAGGACTGAGGTGGGGGTGTCAGGGCAAGACCTCAAATTTCGGAGCTGGGGAGACAGGTTCTGGTTCCAGCTACTCAGTTGTCCCTTGTTCCATCAGAGCCACTTCTGCGTTTTAAGAAATGACATCCAGAACCCCCAAGCAGGGCTGTGAGGGGGACCAGTTGGCCACCACCTCAGGAGTACCCGACAAGCCTGGCCCAGAAGCAGGCAAGGTGCCTTCCCCCCATGGCGCTTGTTTGCAGAATTGCGATACTTGACTTTTGCACTAAAGTCACAGACAGGAAAACGAGAAGGAGGAAGAGTGGCTCCAGGGGCACGGGAAGACGCAGGCGTCCAGGGACACCTGTGATAGTGTCCCCACACATCGATGGAGGCCTCAGTCACCCCAAGAGGTTGGTGCCGCAGCCCAGTCAGGGCTGGTGGGGTTGAGGCGAGGCCTCAGTGTCCAATGAGCCCCAGAAGCAGGTGAGGTGTCAGAAGATGTCAGAAGGCAGAACCTCAGGGGGTGCAGGAGAAGGAAGTGGGAGACCAGAAGGGAGGGGAGAGGGACCAGAGCCAGGCGGGGCCGCTGTCGAGGATGGCGGCCTGTGTGCGACAGCGGTGAAGGGGAGGGGCTGGACAAGCAGAGGGAATCCATGGGCCAGCAAAGAGAGGCAGGGAGGGAAGGAGCCAGAGGGCGGAGGCAGAAGGACATATGTCTCATCTGAGTACACGGAGAGGGAGAGCCCTTCGCGGAAACACACTCATGTCTCGGCAGAAGCTGGCGCCGTGTGCGGCCGCATCTTGTAGGCAAGGACTCCGTCTCCGGCATCCAGGGATGGCGGGCTTTCCTATTTGGAAACGGAGGCGGCCCCGTTTTCGCTCTTTGGAGAGGAGGAGGCTGGAGCACAGGCACGTGAAGGGAGCCGTCCCAAGACTCAGAGTGAAGCCCGCCGCAGGGTGGAGGCGTGGGCACCTGCAAGGACGCGGGCTCGTCCTTGCTTACGTGCTTACTCACGCAGACACCCGGCTGGGGACACCCCTCACATGGTGTCCCTGGCCAGAACTAGTGCACTCTGTGCCACGGGCTGTCGGAGAGTCCAAATCTCAAGTGCAAAGCCCGCAGGTTTCGGGTGCTTCCTGCAGGGCGGCAGAAGATGGGCAGAGCAGCTGTTGACTGTCTGAGAAGGTAGGACACAGGTGGGCAAGGGATGCCCGTGTAAAGGCTTGGGCAAGATCTGCCCGGCAAGTGTCTCTTCGTAACTGCTCCAATCTTCCCATCACACTGGGAGTGTGCCCAGCAACTCTCAGAAGGCGACTTCAGGTGATGCCCACAGCAGTCCTGCGAGTGTTTCTGTGATCTGTGTGACACGAGGGAAGTCAGGCCTCAGCGAGTTTAGGGAGATGTCCCAGGGACACCACTTGTAGATTCCCACTGATTTGGGCCTGCGGACCCCAGAGCTCAGTAATTCCTATTTCTTTTTCTTGTTTTAAGATGGGGTCTTGCTCTGTCACCCAGGCTGGAGTGCAGTGACTCTGTCATAGCTCTCTATAGCCTTGAACTCCTGGGCTCAAGTGATCCTTGTGTCTCAGCCTCCCAAGTAGCTGGGGCTACAGATGCACCACCATGCTGGACTCATGTTTAAATTTTTGTGGCAATGGGGTCTCTCTGTGTTGCCCAGGCTGATCTCAAACTCCTGTGCTCATGCACTGCTCCTGTTTCTCCCCCGCCCGCCCCCCCCCATGATGTTTTCATTCAGGAGTATGAGAAGTAAGAAGTTTTTTCTTCCTCCTGGCATCCACACTGCCCGACTCGTGAGAAATCCAGGCTTTGCTGTAATGGGCAGCCGTGGGAAGAGGGGTAGGGGTGGAGAAGGGGGTGGCATGGGGCAGGGGTGAAGAAAAGCTTGCTGTGCCCAGGGGCCTTTCAGAAGACGTGGGGGAGGCAGAAATGACAAGCAGGCGAGGATGGCCGAGGACAGGTAAGTGGGAGCAGGTGAGAATCCAGATGGAGAATTCGCACCCGAGCACCTGCTTGGAGAGGTGGACCAGGGGGAGACCGAGAGCAGGAAGGAGGAGGGATGGTGGGTGGGAGAGAGGACCCCCTTGTTCCCTGGACACTCTGCCCCTTGCCGGGATGGCCACCAGGCAAGGACCTCCCATGAACCAGCCTGTCTTCTGCACCCTTGGGCTTGGTGGCGGGAGTTCTGGTTGGCCAGGAATTTCCACAGATTGGGAGCAGCCTTGTACACGGGGGACATACCCCATGGGACTTGGAATGCAGCCAGCCCTGAGTACCATCAGTTAGGGGTGCATTGTCTATCGAGAAAGTAAAAGCAGTAACAACACTGCCAATCCATCATTCTGCCTCTTTCTGCCACTGTGCCCTGGCAGTTCTAGCCATGGCAGGGGATAAGGCACCCTCCTCCCCCTTGGCGCACTCTACTTCTTTCTCAGGGCAGCACACATCAAGCCTGCTGCCGTGCCGTCTTAGGGAGGACATTGTTATAAGCTGCCTCTGCCAAGTCCACCCCGTGCACCTCCCGGAGGGCCCATAGCAGCAACCCACCAGGAAGAAAGAGGTGTCAGTATGAACCCAGAGACACCCCAGCACCGGCTAGGAAGCTTCCAGCATTTTCTACAGCTGCTTTTAGCTCAGTGACCTGCTCTGACTTCCTCCTCCTCAGCTTCGATCAGGTGGCTCTCACCCAGGGCATTCTGTGTGGAAGGAGCGTTCACGGACACCTGTCCAGGTGCCTTATGGAGCTCGGCCCTCGGTGGCATCATCCATGGACATCTTGTCCATATGCCTTCTGGGGACTCGGCCCTCAGTGGTGTCCTTGCTGTGACATCTGCTAGGCTGTGCCAAGTCTCCTCATGACAGTCATCGGGGCCCTGACTGACACTCTCCTGGGTCACAGGGAGTGTGTCTGACCGTCTTCCTCAGCCAAATCTTCTGCGTGCTCAACAGCAACTCTCGGTACCCCAAGGTCCTCCTTTCAGGCTAAGACAGCCCTCCAGAGCCCTGCCCCATGCCAGCCACATGTGTTTCAGGGGCTGGCATGTCGGGCTGCGCCTCTGTGAATGCATCCTACCCTCCGAAGTGTTAGGACAATCCCCGTTTACGGGTGGGAAAACTGAGGCTTCCCACTCACGGAATGCACAGACTGGCAGTGGAGCTTGTCCCTGGGCCTGGCACAGGGCTTGAGCTGGAGAGCAGCGACAGAGGGTAACAGGAGGGGCCTCCTGTCTTGCAGAAATCTCCTTCCGGGTGTGGATGTGCGGAGGCAGCCTGGAGATTGTGCCCTGCAGCCGTGTGGGGCACGTCTTCCGGAAGAAGCACCCCTATGTTTTCCCTGATGGAAACGCCAACACCTATATCAGGTGAGCACCCGGGGGCCTGGCAGGTGGGCAGTGGGTGCTGTGAGGAGTGGCCACCGCCCCCAGTGCTCCACGGGTGGTGTTCGGGTTTCCCATCATGTTCCCCGGACCCTGCCTGGGCACAGGAGGTCAGGCCACATCCAGCATTGAGGTCAGAGGCTTCCTACTGCCTCTCTGAGGCTGGACACGGCTCCGCCTGTGGCCTCAGCTTCAGGGGCACTGGCCAGTGCCCTCCTGCAGGGCCTGGCTCTGGATGTTGGGGGTTGTGTGTGGGGGGGGCGGCCCTTTTGCCCCTGAGGTCCGGAAGCTCTGCCATCCCCACCTCTAGGCTGGGCCCCTGGGGAGAGGTCCTTGGGGGATGACAGGTGGAAGCACAAGCAGATACAGCTCAGGGGTCTCATGGGGCGTCCTGGCACCCAGGGGCCAGGCTGGAGCAGGGCCTGAGACCGGGACTCCTGCCATGTGTTCTCACTTCCTCCCTGGGGGGTGGCACGTCCTCCTGGGGACTCAGACCCAGAGGTGTCTGTGGCCTGCCTCGCCCCCCCTTCACCGACCCTCCTGCCTCCTTGGTGTCCCCTCTTTGGATGCTTTCTCCTTTCAGAGTTTTCCCAGTGTTTTCCTTTCTCTATCTTTCCCCCTCTCTCCCTCCCTGTCCCGGCCTCTGTCTCCTGGCATCTGATAGCATCGCTCCCTCACCTGGTCCCCTCATTCTTTCAGTCTGTCACCTGGTACATGGGGGTGGAGAATCACATACCCCTTTGGGGGTTCCATGTTTGGAGGGTGTCATCGACCCCTCCGTGTTCTTCTGCTTCGGGTTTCCACACAAATGACCAGGCACATGCCACACAGCCATCCCGGAGAAGCAAGGGTTGAAGCAGCAGGAAATTAGCCATGCCTTTTGATAACATGGAGGCGAGGGGAAGATGAAGAGGAATTGGGCAGGCAGGCACAGTGGGGGGCCAAGGTCAGGCCTGCTGTGGCTCTTGGGGTATACTGAGAGGTGAGCCAGGAGAGTCTGGGGCCATGTGGGGGCCGTGGGGCCATGGGGAGGGGCAGTCTGGGCATGAGGGGCAGAGCCTGGGCTCCAGTCACTGGCTTAGGGACAGGGCCCTGGCCAGGGGCGTCCTGCCTGCCGCCCATGGGTCACTCCGTTTTTAGAGGACTGTGGCCCAGACGTCTGCTGGGCAGCCTCCATGTGTGATGGCTCGGCCCATGGCAGGGCTGGGGTACAAGGAGCTGCCTCAGTGGCCAGGGGCAAGCCGTGTACATGGGGTGGTCGCAGATCCCAGCTGGATGGGCTCGCACTGCTCTGGGGAACACCTCTGCTTTGAGACATGGCCTGTGCCTGGAGGAGCAGCCCAGGCCCTCTGTAGTGAGACCCACGTCCACGCACCTGGCCTCCCTGAGAGCCACAGAAGTTCCGCTCCTGGCATGATTGTTCTGTCTGCACCGAGCAGGGCAGGGCTTTTTGTTACTACAGACTGAGAATCCCAATCTGAAATGCTCCCAGATTGAAACCATGTGGAGCGCCGAAGTGACTGTCCCTACCTGGCCTCACATGTGGGTCACGGTGAAAATACAAGGTCACAACACAGTTTACTCCATGTCCCCAGGGAAAGTGAGAGGGCCTTCGGGCTCTGTGCATAGATGTCTATGAAATATGAATGAGTTTCTCGTTCAGATACGGGTCCATCCCCAAGATGTCTCATTAGGGTATATGTCGATATTCCAAAATGCAAACAACTCCGAAATCCAAAGCATGCCTGGCTCCAGGCGTTTTGAGGAAGGGAGGCAGAGCCTGGGTCTTGGAAGAAAGGCCCCATTAGAAACAGGGGTCTGCACCCCGGGGGGCAGTGAAGTCTCGGACCCACCGTGGTGGCCCCACCAGATGTCGCTGCCCACTCAGCCCCCACGTGTATGTCTTAACTGGGACCCACAGGCCCTCCCTGATGGCCCTGGCAGACACTGCTTGTCACTCTCTTCCCAGAAACACCAAGCGGACAGCCGAGGTCTGGATGGATGAGTACAAACAATACTACTATGCGGCCCGGCCCTTCGCCCTGGAGAGGCCGTTTGGGAAGTAAGTGTCCCCTTGGGTGGAAGAGGCCAGAGACGGGGAGGAGCCCCAGCTGGGCCGGCCTCTCCAGCCTCTGAGCATCCACAGGGCCCAGGCACCCGCTCCTCACTCCTGTCCCTCAGAGCTCCTGCCCAGGTCTGGGTGTGCAGGGCCTTTGGCCTCTCTGGTGGAATGAGAGTCTGGCAACCTGGAAGGCAGCCCAGGTGGGGAGCCAAACCGAGCCTTGAGAGCAGGCCGATCGTTTCAGCCCCCTGCCGAAAGACCAGAAGGGGACGAGGCAGCCTCAGTCCCGCAGGTCTGGTTCTTCCCTCCTGGTTCTCTGTCACCAGCCTACACTTCCTGTCTGGAGGGCCCAGCGTCACGAGAGGAGGGGACAAGGAAGGGGCCTTTATCAAGAGCTGGTGCCGTCACATGGGGCCTCTCCTTCATCCTCCCACGCTCTGAGACACGGGCATGACGGCTCCGTGTGACAGATGCGGAGACTGAGGCTTCTGCAGGTGAAGCTATCTGCCCTAGGTCAGCCCAAGCCAGAGGCCGATGGAGACTGAAATCCACCTGTCTGATTCCAACACTGTGTGACCTTGCGTTCCCCACCCAGAGCCGACTGGGGTAGAGAAAAGCAGCGGCTTCCCTGTGTTATCATGTGTCTCAGCTGTCGGCTTTCTGCCACACTGTTGCGTGAGTCACAGACTGGCTGCCCGGCAGGTGGGCTTTGTGTGGCCTACACTTCAGAGGCCGAGCCCAGCTGAGCAGGAGGATAAGATCAGTACCCACCCCAACAACTGCACCCCTGAACACATGACTCCACGCTATTCCCCCACTTCTCACTCCAAACCTCCCACGGGGCTGGTTCCCGGGCTCCACCAGAACTCCTGGCCCCTGGGCCAGGTCCGCGCCCCTCCTGTTCCCTTGGGGGCTTGGTCAGGAGGTCTTCATTTTATTGTTTGGCAATGCCTCCCCAAGTCTTCTCATGTGTCTCGGCTGTCGGCTTTCTGCCACACTGATGCATGTGTCACAGGCTGGCTGCCCGGCAGGTGGGCTTTGTGTGGCCTACACTTCAGAGGCCGAGCCCAGCTGAGCAGGAGGATAAAATCAGTACCCACCCCAACAACTGCACCCCTGAACACATGACTCCACGCTATTCCCCCTTCTCACTCCAAACCTCCCACGGGGCTGGTTCCCGGGCTCCACCAGAACTCCTGGCCCCTGGGCCAGGTCCGCGCCCCTCCTGTTCCCTTTGGGGCTTGGTCAGGAGGTCTTCATTTTATTGTTTGGCAATGCCTCCCCAAGTCTTCTCATTCCGGGAGGAACCTGGCTTGGTGCCCTATCCATCTTGCCCACGGTCAGTTGGGGCTGCTAGTCGCACCCATACCACCCCTCAGCGAGGCCCGCAGCCTGCCCCCTGGCCTGCTGCCCTCCTGGTTAACCCTCTCCCTCCATCTTCACCAAACCTTCTCAGCTCTCCCTGACCCCTGATCCCAGCCCCAACTCTCACTCCCGGCAGATGGCACTCTCCGTTTTACGGATGAAAGAGGCGCCCTCGACTTCCCAGGACAAACCTACCCCTTCACTTCGCTGTCTGCGCCTCCCTCTCTGTCACTGGCCTCAGAGGACGGGGTGTGCCCCTGCAGTGGCACCCAGCCCCGTGCATGTCCTCTGGACCCACCGCTCACCCCTGATTCGTTCCTAAATCAGCATCTCCAGTCGTCCTTCTGGGCCGCCTCCTCTGCCTCCTGACGCAGGGTCTCTCCAACACCCACGTGCACACATGTGTCCCGGGGAGCTTGTTGAAATGTGCATTTGGATTCTGGAGGTCTGTCTTCCTAATAAGCTCCCAGGTGATACCAGGCTGCCGCTGGGAAGACCTCAATTCGAGGAGCAGGTTCTAGGGCAAGATTCCCAAACTCGTCTGCACATCAAAGTCCCCTGGATGGCTCAGACCTTCTACAGCCCTGGCCCCTCCTCTGAGGGTGGCTCTCATTGCTCTGGGGTGTGACCCCCAGGTGGAGACAGGTGCGGGAACCACCCTCCTGGGGCTCTTGGCCTCTGGGTGCCTCCACTCTCTCTGGGGTGTCACACCACCCCCTTCCATCATCCCCATTGGCATTTCAATTTATTCAGGGTGGGGCGCAGTGGCTGACGTGGGTGGGTCACTTGAGGTTGGGAGCTTGAGACCAACCTGAACAACATAGAAAGACCCCAACTCTACAATAATAATGATAATAATAATAATTATTAGCCAGGTGTGGTGGCACATGCCTGTAGTCTCAGCTACCTGGGAGGCTGAGGAGGGAGGATCCTTTTGAGTCCAGGAGTTGGAACCTGCAGTGAGCTATGATTACTCCAGCCTGGCCAACAGAGTGAGACTGTCTCAAAACAGACACACAAACAAACAACAGCAACAAAACCACATTCAGTGTCTTACATCATTTTAAAAAGGGGAAGGAGGAGGAAAAACGACCGCAGCCCTCCCTCCACCAACACCAGTCCTCGCCCGCACCCAGCTCTCTGCTCGCCCAGAGCCCAACTTCATGCTCAGCCGTCAGCCTCACGGTCTCCAGCACCCGTGCAGAGGTTCCCCCAGGCCCCTGCAACTCCCTTGCACCGGGCCCCGTCCTCCCACACGGGTCCATCGGCCTGAGTCTCCCCTGCCCCCTCCAGTGGCCTCTGGTCCTAGGCCTTCAGAGCTCTGCCCCAGTGGCTTCCTGCTGCACTAGGGTCTGCTTCTCAGTACCACATGCAGACTCCCTTTCTTCACCCCCATGCGATGGTCTTACTGGAGGGTCTGTCCCCCCGGCTTACCTCTGGCACGTGTCCTTCCTGGCGCTCACCACCGCATCTATGCTGCTGATACTGGTGTTTCTGTTCCTAACCTGGACCTGTCCTGTGAGCTCTAGTCCCGGGTATCCAAGTACCCACTGGACACCTCCACTTGGGTGTCCCCTGGGCAACTCCACTGATCTCACGAAGTTGACTCCTAAACTTGCTCCTCGTCCCAGGTCCCCAGCACCACCAATGGCCTTCCCTGCACCCTGCTCCCAAGTCAGAAGTCTGGGTGTCCCCTTGTCTGCCGCTCCTCCCCGTGCAAGCCACCACTGAGTCTGGGGTCTCTGCCTCCTCACACGCTGTGCTCCCAGGTCTTCGCTAGACCCCCACATCAGCATTGAAAGACCCGACCTCCTTTCTGTGCCTGTGGCACTTGGAGTCTTTGAGCCGCTGTTGTGTGTCAGACACTGCACCCCACGTGGGGTGGGTCAGAGGGCTTTCAAGCACTAGAAAAGGGCAACAGAACAAGCAGGTACAGCCTGTGGGCACAGAGTGGGAATACCTCAGGGGGACCATTGCATGTTGGGCTCATAGAGGGAAAGGTGGTCACGGGGATGCTAGCATCTAGGTCAGACACCTTCTGGGGACCCTTGCTTGCCGGGACCATGGTGAACAAAGTGGTCACAGGGATGCTGGCATCTGGAACACTTCAGAGGGACCCTTACATGCTTGACCCATGGCGGGTAAGGTAGTCATGGGGATGCTGGCATCTGGTACAGACACCTTCAGGAGACCCTTGGTTGCTGGGTCCATGATGGACGAGATGGTCACAGGAGATGCTGGCATCTGGAACACCTTGGGGGGACCCTTGCCTGACAGGTCCATGGTGGGCAAGGTTGTCACGAGGATGCTGGCATCTGGGACAGACACCTTGGGGTGACCCTTGTTGCTGGGTCCATGGTGGGCAAGGTGGTCACAGGGATGCTAAAATCTGGAACACCTCGAGGGGACCCTTGCATGCTGGATCCATGGCGAGCAAGGTGGTCATGGGGATGCTGACATCTGGAACAGACACCTCTTGGAGACCCTTGCTTTCCAGGTCCATGGTGGGCAAGGTGGTCACGGGGATGCTGGCATCTGGAACACCTTGGAAGAACCCTTGCTTGCCAGGTCCATGGTGGGCAAGGTGGTCACATCTCAGGGTGACCCTTGCTTGCTAGGTCTATGGTGGGCAAGGAGGTTATAGAGATGCTGGCATCTGGTACACCTCAGGGGGACTGTTGCATGTTGGATTCATAGCGGGCAAGGTGGTCACAAGGATGCCGGCATCTGGCACAGACACCTGAGGGGGACCGTTACTTGGCAGGTCTGTGGTGGACAAGGTGGTCACAGGGATGCTGGCATCTGGAACACCTTGGAGGACTCTTATTTGTCCTCAGAGGGACACTTGCATGCTGGATCCATGGCGGGCAAGGCGGTCATAGGAATGCTGGCATCTGGGACAGAAAACTCCAGGGGACCCTTGCATGTTAGGTCCATGGTGGGCAAGGTGGTTACAAGGATGCTAGCATCTGGAAGGAAGAGTGAGTTTTCTCCAGACAAACCAGAAAGCAGATGGAGCAGGGGCTCCAGGTGAGGAAGGTGGCTGGTGCTGTATAAGACATCCTGGTGCTGTCCCGGCTGGACGGGGAGTTGGCCAAGGCTACATGGTTGCCCAGGAAAGACAGGGTGTGACTGGAGTTTGGTGGGTGCTGTGGGTGGAGAGGCATGTGGGAACAGGCCCTGCCACTTCCCGTCCCAACCCTCTTTCCCAGGTGACTTGCGGCCAGCTCCTGATGCCCTTGCTGCCTCCCCAGACCACTCAGCCCAACTGGGAGATGCTCTCAGAGCCTGAGCTTCACCGCATCACCCTCTACTCAGAGCCCGTTGGACGCATCCCAGGGCCCTTCAGATATAGTCCAGGGCCCTTAGCAGTCTGATATGGCTCCATCCCGTCCGCTCCTCCTTCCACCCCTGCCCGCATGCCTATCCTAAAGTCTTGCAGTGGTCTCGCCTACAGAACTCCTTCCCCTTCTTCACACATATGACCCCCTTGCTCTCCCCAAGACTTGGTCCTACCCCAGCTGCCTCTGGTTTGTCTAGAGACCATCCAATCTTCCTCCTAGATGTCAGCATCTGACCAACACCTTGACCAACACAGACCTGATAAGCAAGGGTCCCCCTTAGGTGTCTGTGCCAGATGCCGGCATCCTTGTGACCACCTTGCCCAATACCCAAGGGTCTCTCCAGGGTGTCCCAGATGCCAGCAGCCCTGTGACCACCTTGACCAACATAGGCCCAACACACAAGGGTCCCTCGGGGGTATTCTAGAAGCCAGCACCCCCATGGCCACCTTGCCTGACATGGACCCAACACCCAAGCGTCCCCAGAGTGTCCCAGAAGCCAGCACCCCCATGGCCACCTTGCCTGACATGGACCCAACACCCAAGCGTCCCCAGAGTGTCCCAGATGCCAGCACCCTGTGACCACCTTGCCTGACACCCAAGGGTTCCCCCGAGGTACTCCCATGGCCCTGTATGCCTGCCTTGTGTTCCACAGGCTGTGATGGCTGGTGTCATTTTCCTTTCCCCACTACTCAAAAGCTTTCGGTCCACCCCATGCTGGGTACAGAGCCTGACATGTGACCACGTGATGGACACATGCATGGCCAGGCCCAGAACCCACTGCAGAAGAGAGAAGAGGGCTGTTTGAGGCTGTGGCAGTGGGGTGTGGTGTCTCAATGGTAGAATCCAAAGAATGATGGCAGCTAAGTAGATCTGGGACCCACGGCGAGGTAGCCACAGCATGTTGAGTGTGCTCGCTGCCTCTTTTTGCATGGAGGGTCAAGACACCCCCACATTCCACTTTCAAGTAACAGCAGCATCCTCAGTATCACGGCTCGCCATGTGAGCTCTCGCCAGGTGTTTCTGCGGCTCCATCCACAGCTGTAGAAGCTGATCATGTCTGGCCCCTCTGGAGAGACGCAGGCATGGCTCGTGGGATGGTTTGCTCTGTGCCCCCCGGCCAGCCATTCACAGCTGTGCTTTGTCCTTGCGTCTGACCCTGCCCTATCGCCCCAGCATCGAGAGCCGCGTGGAACTCAGGAAGCGTCTGCGCTGCCAGAGCTTTGAGTGGTACCTACAGAACGTCTACCCGGAGCTCAGGTATGTCCCCACCTGCCGAGCCCTTGCCAGCTGCAGGGTGAAGCATGGGCCGGAGGAAAGACAGGCAGTGGCCAGCTGGACAAGGGCTCTGGGAACATGGAGGGCTGGAAGTCCCTGGCTCTCCTTATCCCTGAAGCCAGGAGGGGAATTATGTTGAATCAGCAGCATGAGGAGTTGAGGTCAGCTGGTAGAAGCACTTCTCATCCGCCTGCTTTGAGCCTTGTGCCCTGAGAGGGTGGACTCACGATGCCCACTCGCCCCTGGCATCCCTCTCCCTTGGTGGCTTCTGAATCTAGCCTTGCTGTCCCAGTCCTTGTGGCTTCCTCCCTCCTCCAGGGCAAGACAGCCCTGCCATTCCCAGAATGCTGCCCCCCTCCACTTGCTCGTGTGGCTGGCTAGTCCAGAGGGCAGCGCTCCCCCTCTCTCCCTGTGGCTTCCCCAGCGTCCCCAAGGACTCCTCCATCCAGAAGGGCAGCATCCGGCAGAGGCAGAAGTGCTTGGAGTCGCAAAGGCGGAGCAGCCAGGAGCCCCCAGCCCTGAAGTTGAGCCCCTGTGTCAAGGTCACAGGCGAGGAAGCCAAGTCCCAGGTAAAGGAACTGGCTGGGGAGACAGGGATATGGGCCACAGAGGGGAAGGAGGTTGCATTACTCAGCCCCCGTGGCCTGCTCTGGCGTGGCACCAGCTTCCTGTTTATTTCAAGGTCAGCAGGAGAGCTAGGAAGGGGGAGCCCTCACTCTGACCCTGGGTTGACTTCGGATTCGTACATGGCATTACCCTACAGATGGCTTAATGAGCATCAGGCCAGTAGGAAATTGCCCCTTAAATTAGCAGGAGCTCAGGCTTGGGGAGGTGGCTCATGCCTGTCATCCCAGCACTTCGGAAGGCGGAGACTAGAGGATTGCCTGAGCTCAGGGGTTCAAGACCAGCCTGGGCAATTTGGTGAGACCTCAACTCTACAATAAACAAAAAAATAAGCCGGGTGTGTTAGTTTGTGCCTATAACTCCAGCTACTTGGAAGGCTGAGGCGGAAGGAACACCTGAGCCCAGCAGGTCGAGGCTGTGGTGACCAGGAGTGTACCACTGCCCTCCAGCCTGGGCGACATAGTGAGATTCCAACTCAAAAAAAAACAACCAAAAATTAGCAGGAGCTCAGACTGGACACAGTGGCTCATGCCTGCCATCCCAACACTTTGGGAGGTGGAGGCGGAAGGTTTGCCTGAGCCCAGGGGTTCGAGACCAGCCTGGGTAATGTGGCGAGACCTCATCTCTACAATACTTAGAAGGTTGAGGTGCAAGGATCACCTAAGCCCAGCAGATCGAGGCTGCAGTGGCCATGAGCATGCCATTGTACCCCAGCCTGGGTGACAGAGTGAGACTCCGACTCAAAAAAAAAAGAAAAAAAATCAGGCTGGGCTCAGTGTCTCATGCCTGTCATCCCAGCACTTTTGGAGGTGGAGGCGAGAAGATTGCCTGAGCCCAGGGGTTTGAGACCAGCCTGGGTAATATGATGAGACCTTGTCTCTACAGTAAATCAAAGAATTTAGCTGGGAGTGGTGGTGTGCTTCTGTGGTTCCAGCTACTTAGAAGGCTGAGGTGCAAGGATTCCCTGAGCCCAGCAGGTCGAGGCTGCGGTAGCCATGAGCAGGCCCCTGCACTCCAGCCTGGGCGACAAGAGAGAGACTCCAACTCAAAAAAAAAAAAAAAGCAGGAGCTTAATGAGTTGGTCGTGGGTGGTATCCTTGCTGCAGCAAATATGTGCTGGGCTGGCAGGGCTGGTGGCACAGTCACTGGGAGCCAAGCCTGCAGCCAGGTCCTGAGAGCCTTCCACTGGTAGAGCCCTGTCTGGTCAGTCAAGTTCGGTGACTTGACTATGGCTGCCCGTCGGTTTCAGGGCTGTGGCAGAAACAGATGCAGCCTTCACAGGGTCCTGTGCCACCACCCAGGGGTCCAATTCGAGAATTTTCTTCTTTGCCCATGCTGGAGGCAGGGGCAGATGTCAACCCCCTGTTGCAGCCTGGGACAAAACCTCTCCTCTGGGTCCCCATTGAACAGCTGCTCTGCCAGCATCTCCTGCCCCCGACGGAAGGATGCAGGGGTGCGGGGGGCACAGCTTGTGGCTTGGTGAGCCATGGGCACTCTGATCTCCAGCACTTTGGAGGGAAAATGTTGACAGCAGCCCCTGTGATAAGTCGCACAGAATGCCCTTCCCCCATCCCTTAGAGCACCGCCTGTCCATCCATCCCATCCCTGGCTCTCTCCCTGCAGGAACACGGGGCCAGGGGACCCATCCTGCTGGCCTGCGGGGGCCCGAGCACCTCTCCCAGCGTTTGGTTCCCCATGACTTTCTTCTCCCCCTCGTGTTCCCTGTCTCTTGACCTGCTTCTTGTCATCACTGTCATGTGCTCAGGATACTGACTTGGACTCTCTTTCAAAGAAGGGACAGTCTAAACATGGCTGTGGGAGGGGGTGTGACCTGCCAGGTGGCCGCTTGAAATGTCAGTTGTGGGGACCAGACTCCCCTGGAGACATTCTCTCCAAACAGCAATCACAGACCACGCAGCTCAGCGGAGGTTTTCAACCTCCCACCCAAAGTCCAGCATCGTTCAGCACCTGCCCAAGGCCACCTGTGTGACCCATGCCTTGTCCCCTTTATGGGACCTGGGATGGAGACTTCCGGAGGCTGTGACCTCCACACCTTTGGTCCTTCAGTGGCATTTTCCAAGGTGACGGTGTTGATGCCTGCTGGAACCCCAGCCCTGCTGGCCAGCCTGTATCTATCATCACACATGGGCACGGTCGCAGCCCACAAATGGTGGCTTTCTAGGTTCTGAGCAAACCACCCGGCCTCTCCCCTCAGGTGTGGGCCTTCACCTATACTCAGCAGATTCTTCAGGAGGAACTGTGCCTGTCCGTGGTCACCCTGTTTCCTGGAGCTCCGGTGGTTCTTGTCCTTTGCAAGAATGAAGATGACAGACAGGTGAGTGGGCCGGAGGTCCCTGGGGTGTGGCCACCCGCCGTCACTGACTGCCTGTGTGGGTCTAAGTCTCGCCTATGGGAAAAGAGAGAAACTTAGAAGAGGAGGGGTGGATAAGAAAGAGGTTTATAGAAGAAAGAGGTGTAGGCGTCTGTTTCGCGTTTCTGTAAAGGAACACCCGAGGCTGGTAATTTATAAAGGAAGAGGTTTATTGGCTCACGGTTCTGTGTGGCATTCATGGGTCATCTGTGGGTCTTCTGGTGAGGCCTCAGGAAGCTCCAATCGTGGCAGAGGGAAGAGGGGGCAGACGTGTCACAAGGTGAGGGTGGGGGAAGAGAGAGAAGGAGGAAGCACTGGGCTTTCCTCCGGTCTCCCCATTCCATATGAGGAGGGACCCCCAAAATATGGAATTTATTTATAAAAATCTGTGTATTTATTCTTATGGGTTTACACTTCACCCTCAAAGTACTCTCCATTTGATGCAATACACCTGTGGAGATACAACTGCTCAAAATGGTTTTTGAACTCATCAATTTGGCCTTTTAGTGCTTCTGCTGTCTTTTGTTTCACCTCTTCCTCATCGGCAAAATGTTTCCCTTTGGGGAATTTTTTCACCCAGGGAAACAAAAAAAAAGTTGCTCAGGTTGACATCAGGTGAATGGGGTGGGGCATGAGGTCGTACTGTTTTAGGTCAAAAACTGCTGAACCCTCAGTGCGGTGTGGACAAGTGCGTTGTCATGGTGGGAGAATCAGTCACCTGTCTGCCACAACTCAGGGCGTTTCTTCCACCACGTAGCCTCTCACAATGCTAGCTGGTCCACGGACGCCACCGGGCTCCTAGAACACTTACCTAGCTGGGGGAGCCTGTACTACAAGGGGCCCACCCTCCAAAAATTAATTCCCGTCTTTTGGGACCCCCCCTCATACAGTCAGTTCTTGTGAGAAATAACAGAGCAAGAACTCATTCATCGCCTGAGAAAGGCACCAAGCCATCCGTGAGGGACCCGTACCCACTCTCCAGTCACCTCCCACTAGTCCCCCCTCCAACCCTGGGGACCACACTTCAACATGAGACTGGGGGGACAAAAATACAAATGATATCAGAAGCCCTTGTGGTCAGGAGAGGGAGGGGGACTGCTGCCTCGATGCCTTCATGCTGCCAGCCACAGCGGCAGCGTGAACCCTGCTGACCCGTGCAAGCCCATGGACCTTGGCCAGCCACAACATTGCACTCACCTCCTCCTGTCCTGTCGGTGCCCTGCCCCCACCCGGGTCCTGCAAGACCCGCCCCTTTGCCTTCAGAGTCGCAGGCTCGGCGTGCCCACCAGCGTTTATAGCCTAACGAATGGTCCAAATGCCTGGTCCTTCTAGCAGCAAGGGTCGATCTGTACTCTGCTTCCTGCCCCCGTGTGTGGGCATCAGAGAGCCCAAGAGTCAGATGCCTGTGTGACAGCCTGTATGGCCTGTGGGAGTTGCTGGGCTCTCTGACCCTCTGTCTCCTCCCCTGTGAAATGGCGTCGGTGACACCAGGACACAGGGCTGATGCCACGGTCTCTGCAGTGCGGAACTCTGTGCCCACTCAGGGTGCATCCCCAAGACACATCCAGCCCCTCCCTCGTCGTCATGCTGGGTGGTGTGGGAAGACTGCTTGCGGCCATTTCTGCAGTGGCCCCTGTAACTAACTCACCCCGCCCCGTGTTCCAGCCTATTGCTTGGAAAGTTATTGTCTTCTAATGAGTTTTCCTGGTAAACATATTGATTTCCTTTTAACTTTTCTTCATCCAATTATTTTAAAAAACAAGAACACCTGGCAGAGCAATTAGTGGCCATGTTAGTGCCCGGCGAGACTGTGAAATTGAGTCTCAGTGGCCTGGGACACTGGAACCCTGAAGCGGTCAAGGGGACCGGCCAGGGTCACACACACTGCTCACCTTCTGTCCTCTTGTCTTTCCAGCGATGGACCAAGACTGGCTCTCGCTTCGAGCACCTGGCATCCCACCTCTGCCTGGACACTGACATGTTCGGTGACGGCACCGAGCATGGCAAGGAGGTCGTGGTCAACCCGTGTGAGTCCTCCCTCATGAGCCAGCACTGGGACATGGTGAGCTCTTGAGGGCCCTGCCCGGCCTGGCCTGGCCGCGGGGTGGTGCTTCACTGGACCGGAACAGACACCCGGCCTGAGAGGTGGAAGCAGAGCCTCTGGAGAGGAGGCCATCTCAGGGAGGATAGAGGAAGACGTGGCAGCCAGTGGGGCTCAGAGCCGAGTCCCATGTGTCCTCAGCGCCCTTCCATCGCAGTCCTGGTCGCCATCCCCGACTGGCCTCTGGAGAGGTGGACCCGTTGGGAAGCGCATTCCCTTTCTTACAAAAGAGGTGCTCTCTGGAGGCCGCAGAGGAAGGCCCTCCTCGTCACCAGGCCGGATTCGATGGAGAGGTGGAAAATGGAGGCTGTTTTCAAAACAAATAAAGAGAACCTCGGACATTGCCACTGCCTCTTCTCGTGCTGGCTTGGAGCTTAGCTGACCAGGGAAGGGGGACGTGAGGGCATGGGTTGTCTGGCAGTGTGGACACAGGAGACAGGGAGGGGAGATCTGTGCCTTCTCTCGGGCTGTGGCCTGCCAGCTATGGAGTCTAAAACAGACATATGACTTCCTGGGCCCATTTCCTGTTACACGGGCGGTGGGGCGGGTGGCGGCGATGGGAGCAGAAGCAGACCCAGGACTTTACTGATGGTGCCCGTCTGCCTCATTCAGGGAAATTGTCTGATTTGGGGGTTCCAGATCCCCGTGGAGATCCCGGTTAGAGACGCTGCCCTAGACGGTCTCCATGTCCCCTATGGGGGCTGGGCATTGGCTGCGGTGTTGTCCATCCTTATTAACTAGGGTTTAAGAGAAGAACCAATCCAGAGTGTTGCCACAGTACACCTACCCCTCTCTGCCCAGGTCAGCCCACCACATGCTCTCTGGCACCTGTCTTCTTCATCCATTTCTGCATAACAAGTCACCCCTCCACTTCGCAGCCTACTGCAACACGCACCCTTGACCTCGCCGTTTCTGCGGGTTGCGACTCTGGGCATAGTGTAGTGGGGTTCTCTGCTTTGGGGGCATCTTACGAGACCACCGTCACAGTGTTGACTGGGGCTGTGGTCAACTCAAGGCTACCCAGGCACAGGGTCTGTGCCGAGCTCACCTGGTGGGAGCTGACTGGCCTTGATTCCTCGAGGGCTGTTGGCTTCAGGCTGCCCTCCGGCCGTACCATGCAAGCCTTTCCAGCTTGAGTCATGCAGGTGAGCGAGCCAAGAGGCAGGAGTGGTAGCTCTTCGTCACCTCATCCCTCAAGCTACCTCTGTCACCTGTGACATGCTCCTGGGTGTTGCTCCATGCAAGAGAGGGAAGGAAAGGCTCGCCCCAGAGTTTATGCCAGGAGCCAGGGACCGTGGGTTATTTTAGAATCCAACAAGCACAGGAGCAACTATCATATTCCCCACAGACACCCTCTTCCCCTCCACCCAGAAAGCCCTTCAGAGATAGGAATTAGCTTGATCTCATCATTGTAATATCCTGACCATGATGGCAGCACCCTCAGAGGGCAGACAGCTGCTGTGTGCCCGGAAGCCCTTCTCGGCTGGGATTGTTTCTGCCAACCTCCGTGGTCTTCTGTCATGCAGGCTTGGCTCTCTCACGGGAGCCCTTTTTGTTCCCCACAGGGACAGGAAGGGGGGCCATGGAGAGACCCTGAGCTCTGTGTGCAGGACACCTCCCTACCCCACCCCCGCACCCCCCGCAGCCTCACAGGAAGCGCGAGGACGGGCACGCCCATCTACCGCCTTCCCCTGCCTAGTGAAGCAGGCCCCGTCCTGGATGCATCCAGGAGAGCCCCCGTCCTGCTCATCTGCGTCCTGTCATTGCGTGTGCCTGTCTTGCGTTCCCTGGTGGCACGGAGGCGCCCCAAGCTTTCCTTTGTCCCCAGCCCTGGTGAGGTACTTCAGCCACCCCCCTAGATCTTCTCCTGAAGGGATAATTGAAAACAATTTCTTGCCCAAGATAGATGAAGTGAACGTACTTCCATGTCAGGGCCCCTGTAAAGTCACAGAGTACTGGTGGTCTCCAATCTCTCCCAGCCACTCAGGGCACGGGAACAGGAATAGCAGCTTTTCAACAGGGCTCAGCTGTCCCCTGAACTCCCTCTCACAGCAAAGGACCTTTGGGTGAGTGTGAAGAGTCTCCTCGTAGGAGTGGACAGGGCCTCTGCTCACAGAGACATGGTAACACTCCCGGAAGTGCAAGGTGCATGTCTTAGGGCCTCCTGGGTGGAAACCAGGGTGAGGGTTCTAATGGGGCAGTCAGGAATCCCCACAGTGGGTAAAGTTGGCCAAATGCTCTCCGCCCACTGGCCTGGTAGGGATGCAGCCAGCACAGGGGTAATGGGCTTAGGACTAAGCATCATGGCAATCCCACACCTCCACCAGCTGGTGGTAACAGGTGGGACCGTGCATCCTCAGGCCCAGGCACCCGACCTGCACATCTGCAGCATGGGGAAGTGTGGCCGAGCTCCACCTGGCTGCGGGGATTGGTGGATGCCGTCCTTGGCCAACTCAGAGCGTGAGTTTGAGTGCCACTTTAGGCACCTGAATAGTGCACTCAGAAGGTCACCAGTAGGGTGAGTGAAGGTAAAAGTTGTATCAGCCAATGGGAACAAAGATACACGGAGGATCTTAAGGGCCCACGAGACTCAGACCCCAAACCCTGCTTGGAGAGTCAGCAACCGGGGCAGTCTTGTCGCACTGCCAGGTGAGGAGGGAACAGGTGTGGCAGAAACCCTACCACAGGACTACTTCTGGCTGGAGGGCATGGGCGTAAACATGATGAGTGTATTTTATCGGTGTGACGTGCATGTTAAATGAAAGGGGATTTATACGTATGTCTTGTATAAAATCCCTTCCATTTTCATGTTTGCAGGAGAAAGAGAGGTGGGGCTCCAGCCCTCCCTGCCACCTGGATTAGACTTGGAGGCCTTGAGTGGATGGGGCAAGATGGAGAACATAGTCAGCCCAGGTGCCGCATGGAGGTGGGCCTGGAGACACGCTGGAACTCAGATTGCCCTCATGGCCGTTCCCTTCCTGATGTGCTTTGTGATTTCTCCCTGTGAACTCATCTTCACTGGGAATTTGTCCCTCTCAGCCTCCCAGGAACCCCGGTTGTGGAGGCGTGCCTAGGGAAAGGTTTACATTGGCCTCTGCTGGGATCCTACTGGGTCTCACTGATCCCAAAGAGAGCTGCGTGTTGACTTCTCTGTGAGTGGTTTCCACAGCATGAGTGTTGGCTTCTCCATGGGCGGTTTCCATGGCGTGAGTGTTGACTTCTCTGTGGATGGTTTTCATAGTATGGGTGTTACCTTCTCCATGGGTGGTTTCCATGGTGTGAGTGTTGACTTCTCCGTGAGTGGTTTTCACAGCATGAATGTTGGCTTCTCCATGGATGGTTTTCACAGCATAAGTGTTGACTTCTCTATGGGTGGTTTCCACAGCATGTAGAATACTCTGTGGGTGGTTTCCATGGTGTGAGTGTTTGACTTCTCCGTGGGTGGCTTCCATGGCATGAGTGTTGACTTCTCTGTGGGTAATTTCCACAGCATGAATGTTGACTTCTCTGTGGATGGTTTTCACAGCATGGGCGTTGTCTTCTCCATGGGTGGCTTCCACAGCATGTAGACTTCTCCATGAGTGGTTTCTACAGTGTGAATGCTGAGTTCTCCCTAAGTGGTTTCTATGGCATGGGTGTTGACTTTTCCATGGGTGGTTTCCACCATGTGAGTGTTGATTTCTCCATGGTGGTTTCCACAGTGTGAGTGTTGACTTCTCCATGGTGGTTTCCATGGCATGAGTGTTGACTTCTCTGTGGGTGGTTTCCACTGCATGAGTATTGACTTCTCCATGGTGGTTTCCATGGTGAGTGTTGACTTTTCCATGGTGGTTTCCAGGGCATGAGTATTGACTTTTCCATGGGTAGTTTCCACGGCCTGTATGTTGACTTCTCTGTGGGTGGCTTCCACAGCATGAGTGTTGACTTCTCTGTGGGTGGTTTCCATGGTGTGAGTGTTGACTTCTACGTGAGTGATTTTCACAGCATGGGTGTTGGCTTCTCCATAGATGGCTTCCATGGTGTGAATGTTGACTTCTCCATGAATGGTTTTCACAGCATGGGTGTTGGCTTCTCCATGGATGGTTTTCACAGCATAAGTGTTGACTTCTCCATGGATGGTTTCCACAGCATGTAGAATATTCCATGGGTGGTTTCCACGGTGTGAGTGTTGACTTCTCCATGGGTGGTTTTCATGGCATGAGTGTTGACTTCTCCATGGGTGATTTCCACGGCATGAATGTTGACTTCTCTGTGGATGGTTTTCATAGCATGGGTGTTGACTTCTCCATGGGTGGTTTCCACAGCATGTAGACTTCTCTGTGGGTGGTTTCTACAGTGTGAATGTTGACTTTTCCCTGAGTTGTTTCCATGGTGTGGGTGTTGATTTCTCTGTGGGTGGTTTCCACAGAGTAAGTGTTGACTTCTCTGTGAGTGGTTTCCTTGGCATGAATGTTGACTTCTCCATGGGTAGTTTCCATGGCCTGAGTGTTGACTTCTCCATGGGCGATTTCCATGGCATGAGTGTTGACTTGTCCATGGGTGGTTTTCACAGCATGGGTGTTGGCTTCTCTGTGGATGGTTTTCACAGCATTAGTGTTGACTTCTCCATGGGTGGTTTCCACAGCACGTAGAATACTCCATGGGTGGTTTCCACAGTGTGAGTATTGACTTCTCCATGGGTGATTTCCACGGCATGAATGTTGACTTCTCCGTGGATGGTTTTCACAGCATGGGCATTGACTTCTCCATGAGTGGTTTCCACAGCATATAGACTTCTCTGTGGGTGGTTTCTACAGTGTGAATGTTGACTTCTCCTTGGATGGTTTCCACAGTGTGAATGTTGGCTTCTCTGTGGGGGATTTCCACAGTGTGAGTGTTGGCTTCTCTGTGGGTGGTTTCCACAGTGTTAGTGAGGAGGATTTGGACTCCAACTCTACTCCTTGGCTTAAGCTTGGATTTTGATGTCTCCCTGATTGTCTCTTTCCACCCCAAATTGTAGTCTTGCTTCACAGCATTACCACTCACCCAGCTGGTGAATGGGATTCGCTTGGCCCCTCCCAGCACCCGGTGCCAGAAGGGCCCGTTTCTGACTTCTGCCACCCATGAAGTGCTAGTCTTCCCATGGGCCTCTGCTTGGGTGTTAAAACCCCACCCTGGCCAAGGCACCTGGCGTCAGTCTCCCTACTGCTCTTACTCACCCCTCCCACTTCAAATTCCCACCTGTTTCTGGAATCTGGAACATCGCCCTTTTTCCTTTCAAACGCAGCTGTGATTTCAAATTGTTTTATTCAATATTTATATGTGGGGGAAGGGGGTTTCCTGTGTCAGCTCAGACCAAAACCCT